AGCCAAAACGTCCCCCACAGCGGCATCCCAAAATGAGAAGCCACTATCGCACATGAGGCTGCCGACAGCTCCACTGCTGCCTGCGCAGCCGCCAAGCAAAGTCCCGCTATCCCTGCCAGGCAGAGCTGCCCTGCGGTTGAACCCAGCAGATCCATCCGCACAAGGTAGATTTGCCCCCTCCGCCTTCCCAAAAAACCAGGTGGCACTGGAGGCCAGGTAGCGGGTAGCAAGTGGGCAGCTCGTGGGGTGGGCGGGGGTGGGGCCCATGACCTGTACCCGTGAATGCCTCTCGGCAGGCCCTGCAGGCGAGGAACCGCAGCTGAGCCCCGCCGCCATGGCTTCCCATTGCTGCTGTGGAAATCCCCATCCAGCCTTGGCACCGCGGGCCGGGTCCCCAGGTGAGCACATGGCCGGGCTCCCGCCGCGCTCCATAAACTCACCTTCTCTCCCTGGAGGGAGGGGACAGAGTCCCGCAGGCTGTGGAAGCTGTCCTTGATGTGGTCCCTGCGCTTGCGCTCCAGCGCGTTGTGATGAGCCCGTTTGTCGGCCTGACGGGAAAGGGAGAGGAGCCTGAGCAGCTGGCAAGGGGACGGCACCGCGGGGGAGACAGCCGTGACAGGAGGAGCCGGGCTGCCGACGTTCACCCAAAAATCCCGTGCTGGCAGCTCCCAGATGAGGTGCCCAGAGTCGCTGCGTGAGCTCAGAGCCAAACCCCGAGCACCCTCGTCTGGGTGGCACAGTGGCCGTGACACCTCCTCCGCCGCGGCGGCAGCGTGAGGGCGTGGGAAAGAGGCGGCTCCCCTTGCTTTCGGTTTCCCGGAGGAGCCGGGCTGCCGACGTTCACCCAAAAATCCCGTGCTGGCAGCTCCCAGATGAGGTGCCCAGAGTCGCTGCGTGAGCTCAGAGCCAAACCCCGAGCACCCTCGTCTGGGTGGCACAGTGGCCGTGACACCTCCTCCGCCGCGGCGGCAGCGTGAGGGCGTGGGAAAGAGGCGGCTCCCCTTGCTTTCGGTTTCCCCCGGCCTGTCGGAGCCCATGGGCAGCTTCCTGCTGCTGGGGCAGCCCGGAAGCGCTGCCGGGGGGGCAGAGCTGGGGAGTGGGGGCCCAGCAGTACCCCAAGAGAGGGGAGCACCTCACAGCCCTCTGTCCTGCACCTCCCAGGACATGGCCCCCCCAGACAACCAGACACAGGCCCCCCTATCTGCCCT